GGGGGGGAGGTGGGCAGTTGTTGTTTGTAGCGACAAACCACTACTGTACCAGCCCCCTACAGCGCCTGGAGACCCGTTTTCTCACAGGAGGAGGATGGGGGGGGGTATACCAGACTGGCACTCGTACAGCAGTAGCATTTTGAACAACACCTTGGCAGCAACTTGTTGGTGGGAAAGTATTTTCGAGCGCAAAAGCGGTATAAGCAAGTTTGGGTGAGGTCGAGAGTGATCAAATCGGGGAGCATAAGATAGCATCAGGTTGTGTCAGAAAACAATAACAATGGGAAACATTGCTTCGCAACAACCAAAGAAAAATTGTGTACCTACAGGTGCGGCAAAAGTCCCTGCGCCTAGTAATTTTTCGGATGAAATGTGAAGGGAAGCGTCCAGAAACAAGCAATTTGGTGCGCAAATAGAACCTTTGCAAGTACAGTACAGCTTTTGAATCCTAAAATAGCCTCTTTTTGGGGCATCCACACAGCCCTTTAAAATCTTGGCAAGTCCACCTGCCGTGGTGCCTAGTTTGTCGTAGAAGATCGCAGCGCCTTCACAATAATGCTTCTCCTATCCTGGTAATGAAAAAGCATGATAGAGCCAACATACGAAAATTTTTACAAGTTTAGAAATAAAAATACTGAATTTCAAAAAGGCTTGTGTACGTCGCATATTGAAAATTTGGCCAACCGCAGAAAATCATCGTTCAAAATTACCGTTCGTTCAAAAGCAGAATTACCGCTCAAAAGGTATGGAAGGAGTTCCCTTGATCATTGGTAGAATCTTATTTGAAAGACTAAAGAATATAGCCTGGGGTCACAATGCCTGTTGGGCTTCCATACCCATCAAGTTACTTCCAAAGGCAGATAGCCACTGGCACGCAGGTAGCATTCACAAACTTCCATTCGTTTTCACAATACTACAGTTTGACAGTGCAAAGCCTCCTCTACGTGGTGCACATTGAAGTTGTAAATATTAACAGCATTTCTAGCTATAGCAGAAAATGTGAACACTAAAAAATTCTGGTTTTTTCGCTCTGAAAAATTACTTGTCTGATAGTCCAATTCATATAAATATATGACATTTTTAGCTGTAACATGTATGTAGTGAATGATCGCAGCATTGTGCGAAATATTAGAATCAAAAATATGCCAGTTTAGTATATTACAGTACTTTAATTTCGGCTCAGAGACTTTTGCCGCACCTGTATCACGAAGAGAAGGGTACTTTCGAAATTGTGTTGAACACAAGTGACTCCAGACAAAAAAGATTGGTATCAATCTAGAGAATCTGGTATCATTCAAATTTACATCAAGGCACAAGTTTATCGTAGTTAGACGAGTCGTTTAATATAGTAATATTGCGAATTCAAGCTTTGCACTAAGTCAAAGGACAGATCCAGCAAACCCAGACCGCACTCCCAATCTTTGGAGCTTGCGGCTGGCAAAAAGGCAAAAAGAAGTCGTGACCCTCGTCAGTATCTCGAAGTACGTCTACATCTACAACTGACAAAGCCTTATGCGAAATCATCACGGTTTTGGCATTTAGACCGTTGAGTATGAATAAATGAGTGAATGAATAGTTGCGATTGCACAGAATGCACATTTTACGCGTCTAACCCTGGACTTCGTCGACTACAGAGCTCCTTTTTTTCTTGTTTCAGGTACTTTCCAAAATTTTCTTAGATTGATTTTTCATAGACAATCTAAGAAAAGTGTAAGGATTTTATAAAATTAGTTCGAAAGACTAATTTCGAAAAATAATCAAAGTTAATCATGATACGACATTTGAGATATAAAATGACTAGAGTATGAACCCATTGATGGGAAAACTAACTGTGCAAAAGGTTTTTATCCATATTCCTCCAGTTAATTGTACACAAACAATAAAATCATGAAACATGGTGAAAGATGGAGGAAAATGAAAGTGACATCTTTCACACGAGGATGCATATGCAGTTCAGGAGCTACGCTCCAGCAATTTCGCTATTGTGTGTGTGTCTAGCGAACGTTGCGATGCGAGACGGATGGAAATGAAGTGAATTGCTCATGGCGCATTGTGTCCAATGTCCAACAGT